CTCCCTAGGCTTACGATACTTCTCTATATGGCATTAAAGTCTCTCCAGAAGAGACTAAACAAAGAGCTGAACTTGTAGCACAAGATATTTAAAAACTGCTCAAGTTTTTAGATTAAATCAATCTGATTCAATACTTCCAGAATTTGAAATATAAAAATGTGGAAACTGATCAGAAAACCCATTTTAAGTTTTCAAGGTTGTAATGTTACTGTACATTCTACAGATAACATCTTGTCATGCAATCCTCAGGATCAGAGTGAAGTAATTTTAAAGATAATTTTGGTAAAATATAATGTTTGAACAGTTTTTAAAAATAATGATTTGCAGATCATTTTTTAACGTTTCAATTGAGAAAAGTCTTAAAATTTATCCAGACTCAATGATTGAATAAAAAGTTGCTATTATAACAATGTAAGAAATTTCTTTTAACAATATTGAGACATGTATTTTTCATTTGACATATTTCTAGTGTTTTAAGATAGTTAGATAACAATAAAATTCGGATTAAATTAAAATATTCTGCAACATTTTTAACACTCCCTCCTCCTTTTAAAGCGTATCTTTATTACTTCTTTATTGCACTGATATTTAGATGATATAATTTTCATTTATTTATCATTCTATTATCTGATTACATATTTTCTAAAATATTGATAGATTTTCTGTGTTTCGCAAAGTATTTCTAAAAATATTGCATAATTTCTATAAAGTGCTAATTTTTAGATTGTCTAAAAATAAATAGAAAAAATTTAAAAAAACTTTATTGTAAACTAAATTTATTCAAAATTCTATAATTTTCTTTTTGTTTAAAATTTCTTCGTATTATACTAATTTACCTTTTTTATCCATCTATCCTTGGTTCCCAGCACCAGGGATATTTCAGTCTCCACTCTATATCCCAATATTAATATCCGGGTTTATTCTGAAGTAGTTTGTTTAATTTCTTTATTTCCCTTACTACTCTACAATCTAAATAAATATTTTTGATATTTTAATAAAAATATTATTCCTGAATTATCTAGGCTTTGATTTTAAAGTAAAAGGAATGAATACTTTATTTCATGAATTTTAATACTTGAACATATAAATACCCTAACATTTCATGAATTTCAATACTTGAACATATAAACACCCTAACATTCCATTGATTTTAATACTTGAACATATAAACAGCCTAACATTCCATTAATTTTAATACTTGAACATGTAAACAGCCTAACATTTCATGAATTTTAATACTTGAACATATAAACACCCTAACAATTCAAGAATTTTAATACTTGAACATATAAATACCCTAACATTTCATGAATTTTAATACTTGTACATATAAACATCCTAACATTTTTTCTGAATATCGAATATCGTAAGCTTAAGTCCTTTGAGAGAACGAACAGTTTGATCGAAAATAAAAACAGGATATTAGGGATTTCATTAAAAAAAATTGAACATTTCTAATTAAGCTACTAATACTAGGTTCTATGAATGTGCTTTGACTCCCCCTGTAAAATTATATGCATGAAAATCAACGTGTAAACTGTACATCCTTGTATATGAATAAAAGGGTGTAAACTGTAAACTGTAAACTGCATATCCTTGTATATGAATAAAAGGGTGTAAACTGTAAACTGTAAACTGTATACTGTATACTGTATATACTTGTATATGAATAAAAGGGTGTTAACTGTAAACTGTATACTGTATACTGTATATACTTGTATATGAATAAAAGGGTGTTAACTGTAAACTGTATACTGTATACTGTATA